GCATGCACCTGTTAAAAGTAATTTTCTGGGTGAAAGAGGACTCGCTCCTGTTCCTGATAATGGAACGGGGAAAAGAAAAAGAAAAAGAAAAGGACTCGTATAATAACTGTTTCAAGAAAAGGAATAGGATAAATCGCCTGTACGAAGCAACGGGATGGATCAAAACAACAGGGGTACGTATCTCTTTCAAGCGATGGAATGGGTAACACTCCACCAACCCGTCCTCGACTCAAGTCCATTACATCCAGCGGTCAACCCCACAGACGCATTCATAAATTTTAACATGCTGTTCATTCAAAACGGGAATTTTCTCAAGTATAAATTAATATTATAATATATTAGCATATTGTGCATATATAGACATAGGTTAGGTTAGGTGTTTAGGTTCTGTTGGCGATTATTTGTATTTGTAGTACGTGGGTGAAGCATTTATAGCGTTGTGGTTCGAACAAAATTCGTCAGTGAAGCACTTGTTCCGGATATGTTCGAACGTCAGCAGTTGTGAGTCGTGTGTAAACCGCTTTTCATTCATAAACAGGGGGTTTGGCGGGTGGATGGAATCACTTTTGGATCTTTGTTTGGAGGACGGGCTGCACTCCTCACATAACTTTTCCAAGCGATGGGATGGGAGTACAAGAGGACACATACTCTACCTTTCCGATGGGATGGGTAGAACAGGACTCATACCTGTAGAAAAGAAAAAGGTTCCTTGTTAGAAATTTAACTTCAGAGATAAACTTTTTGAGCAGAGTTATCAGACATAGTAACTGGTCTGCTCTATTTGGCCAGCAGAGCTAACGTTTACATACAATTAATAATGATTCACAGAGTAACCATAGGTTCGAATCCTCACCCACAGCTCCTGTGGATTATACAGGATGATAGAGGAAATAATGTTTCCTAGGCAACAGTTCGCGACACTAACCAGCCAATGGAAACAGCAGGTATCCAGGCTTGGTGTTCCTTTTACATCAGTCTTATCCAAGATGTTGTTGGTGTTTAAGATTCGCTACTTGGAACAAAATGTTCCAAGTAGCACGGGCTATGGTGAGCCCGTAGTTATACAAGAAGAAAATACAATACACATGAACACCTTTTTCATACTTGTCTTCTTTCTGTGAGGCTGTTCGTAGGATCAATTACCCCGCGGCCCGGTCTCTGGCTAGGCCTCCTTTGTAATGGCTAAGTAAATCAGGCTGTTAGACGCTGCTGTTTGCAGAATGATAAATAGATTTCAGCTCAGTTGCTCTGGCATCCTTCGCAGGTGCTTGTTTTGTTCTCTTTGGAACACTGTGAGAGGTGTTCACAAGGAGAACGTCTTGGGGTGAACATGTTGAACATTCTGTTATGCCTCCTGGTCTCGCAAAGGAATTATTTCCATGGGAAGATTTAAACCCGGAGTAAATTATTGTATTTTTGTCTCGCCTGGGGTCCAGACAGGTTTGAACTTTAAGCAGTTCCATTAAGTTCCATGTTTTATCAAATCCATTTAGGGCAGTAGAGGTTCCCTTGCCGGTTTTCCAGGTCAGCAACTTCGCGCAAGTTAGAGTGGAGATGAACAAATCCACAAGGGCCGTAACGAGGATTCGAACCTGCGTCCGAGAGCATCCTAGACGCTGCCTTAATCGACTGAGCTACGACATGGTAAAAAGAGTTGAAACCGAAAAACTACTGAATTTACTGGATCCTGCAGCCTCTCCGAGACACAAACCAGGGTTTTACACAACTCCCCCATGCACTCGAGCTATGTCAATAGGCCGTTCTCCCTCTTCGCCCATACGAATGGGGTAATTCCTATTCGCCCTTTAACAAAGTAATGATTTTTGTTTAAAGTATTTTTTTTCATAATTACCCCACTAACGTTATTACATTACCTTTTCTTTTTATCATATATTTTATATGCACTTTAAATGTGGTCACTGTTAAGATTTGTTCGTTACCACATTAGAGCAAGAGCTGCAGCTTGTCTGCTGCCCTGAAAATCGTGTTGTTTTCTGTAACTCATTTGAAGATATGGTTTAGATCAGTTAGGAGTGATGCTGAGAGTGATGCTGAGAGGGATGCCTGGGAGTGATGCTGAGAGGGATGCCTGGGAGTGATACCTGGGAGTGATGCTGGGAGTGATGCTGAGAGGGATGCCTGGGAGTGATGCTGGGAGTGATGCTGGGAGTGATGCTGGGAGTGATGCCTGGGAGTGATGCCTGGGAGTGATGCCGGGAGTGATGCTGAGAGGGATGCCTGGGAGTGATGCCTGGGAGTGATGCCTGGGAGTGATGCTGGGAGTGATGCTGGGAGTGATGCTGGGAGTGATGCTGGGAGGGATGCCTGGGAGTGATGCCTGAGAGTGATGCCTGGGAGTGATGCTGGGAGGGATGCCTGGGAGTGATGCCTGGGTGATGCCTGGGAGTGATGCTGGGAGTGATGCTGGGAGTGATGCCTAGGAGTGATGCTGGGAATGATGCTGGGAGTGATGCTGGGAATGATGCCTGGGAGTGATACCTGGGAGTGATGCCAGGGAGTGATGCCTGATAGTGATGCCTGGGAGTGATGCTGGGAGGGATGCCTGGGAGTGATGCCTGGGAGTGATGCCTGGGAGTGATGCTGGGAGTGATGCTGGGAGTGATGCTGGGAGTGATGCCTGGGAGTGATGCTGGGAGTGATGCTGGGATGCCTGGGAGAGCTGGGAGTGATGCCTGGGAGTGATGCTGGGAGTGATGCCTGGGAGTGATGCCTGGGAGTGATGCCTGGGAGTGATGCCTGGGAGTGATGCTGGGAGTGATGTTGGGAGTGATGCTGGGAGTGATGCTGGGAGTGATGCTGGGAGTGATGCTGGGAGTGATGCCTGGGAGTGATGCTGGGAGGGATGCCTGGGAGTGATGCCTGGGAGTGATGCCTGGGAGTGAAGCTGGGAGTGATGCTGGGAGTGATGCCTGGGAGTGATGCTCGGAGTGATGTTGGGAGTGATGCTGGGAGTGATGCTGGGAGTGATGCTGGGAATGATGCTGGGAGTGATACCTGGGAGTGATGCTGGGAGGGATGCCTGGGAGTGATGCCTGGGAGTGATGCCTGGGAGTGATGCTGGGAGTGATGCTGGGAGTGATGCCTGGGAGTGATGCCTGGGAGTGATGCCTGGGAGTGATGCCTGGGAGTGATGCCTGAGAGTGATGCCTGGGAGTGATGCTGGGAGGGATGCCTGGGAGTGATGCCTGGGAGTGATGCTGAGAGTGATGCCTGGGAGTGATGCTGGGAGGGATGCTGGGAGTGATGCCTTGGAGTGATGCTGGGAGTGATGCCTGGGAGTGATGCTGGGAGTGATGCTGGGAGTGTTGCTGGGAGTGATGCCTGGGAGTGATGCCTGGGAGTGATGCCTGGGTGTGATGCTGGGAGGGATGCCTGGGTGTGATGCCTGGGAGTGATGCCGGGGAGTGATGCCTGGGAGTGATGCTGGGAGTGATGCCTGGGTGTGATGCCTGGGAGTGATGCCTGGGAGTGATGCTGGGAGTGATGCTGGGAGTGATGCCTGGGAGTGATGCTGGGAGTGATGCTGGGAGTGATGCTGGGAGTGATGCCTGGGAGTGATGCTGGGAGTAATGCTGGGAGTGATGCTGGGAGTGATGCTGGGAGTGATGCTGGGAGTGATGCCTGGGAGTGATGCTGGGAGTGATGCTGGGAGTGATGCTGGGAGTGATGCCTGGAAGTGATGCCTGGGAGTGATGCCTGGGGGTGATGCCTTGGAGTGATGCCTGGGAGTGATGCCTGGGAGTGATGCTGGGAGTGATGCTGGGAGTGATGCTGGGAGTGATACCTGAGAGTGATGCTGGGAGTGATGCCTGGGAGTGATGCCTGGGAGTGATGCCTGGGAGTGATGCCTGGGAGTGATGCTGGGAGTGATGCTGGGAGCGATGCCTGGGAGTGATACCTGGGAGTGATGCCTGGGAGTGATGCTGGGAGTGATGCCTGGGAGTGATGCTGGGAGTGATGCCTGGGAGTGATGCCTGGGAGTGATGCCTGGGAGTGATGCTGGGAGTGATGCTGGGAGTGATGCCTGGGAGTGATGCTGGGAGTGATGCTGGGAGTGATGCTGGGAGTGATGCTGGGAGTGATGCTGGGAGTGATGCTGGGAGTGATGCTGGGAGTGATGCTTGAAGCTGGGAGTGATGCTGGGAGTGATGCTGGGAGTGATGCTGGGAGTGATGCTGGGAGTGATGCCTGGGAGTGATGCCTGGGAGTGATGCTGGGAGTGATGCTGGGAGTGATGCTGGGAGTGATGCCTGGGAGTGATGCTGGGAGTGATGCTGGGAGTGATACCTGGGAGTGATGCTGGGAGTGATGCTGGGAGTGATGCCTGGGAGTGATGCTGGGAGTGATGCTGGGAGTGATGCCTGGGAGTGATGCCTGGGAGTGATGCCTGGGAGTGATGCCTGGGAGTGATGCTGGGAGTGATGCCTGGGAGTGATGCTGGGAGTGATGCTGGGAGTGATGCTTGGAGTGATGCCTGGGAGTAATGCTAGGAGTGTTGCTGGGAGTGATGCTGGGAGTGATGCTGGGAGTGATGCTGGGAGTGATGCCTGGGAGTGATGCCTGGGAGTGATTCCTGGGAGTGATGCTGGGAGTGATGCTGGGAGTGATGCTGGGAGTGATGCTGGGAGTGATGCCTGGGAGAGATGCCTGGGAGGGATGCTGGGTCCTCTTGCTCTGAAATTTTCACGCAACGCTTCGTTAGCATCCGAGCGGGTTTTAATATACATACTATATAGATGTCACGTCTGTGACGGGAAAAAACATGTTTTTTTAAAACTGCGTTTTTCATGTGTGGGACATGTTCGATACCTCTTTACCCATTGCCTAGAAATTTTAACACAACGTTGCATTCGAATAGGGGCGTGTTTTTATATACCTACTATATACATGCCTCACCTGTGACAGGAAAAACTTTTTTTTTTTAAACAGCGCCATCTGTTGGACGTAAGGGCAACACACGCTGTAATCTCCGAAAGTTC